GGGCCTCTTAGGGTCTGTTCAGGCCTGCTGTCTTTGCAGTTCCCCAAACTCCTGGAGGAGTGTCGACGCCCACAGCAGAGGGCTAGATTCGACCCGGTTCTTGGCACTCAACCCTTTGATGGGATCTTGGGATGAGGATGTGGGGGTTGAGGCTCTCGCGCAGAAACCCCAAACCCCAAAAGCCCCCCCCAAACCCTTAACCACAAACCCCAAACCCTATCGCTAATCCCCAAAACCCCAAACCCCAAACCCTTAACCCCACACCCCCTATATTTCCTGAAGCCTTCATTCAACTCCCCCGGGGTTTTCAACATCCATGTGCCCCCAAGTGACAAACCCCACGGCGGACGACATGGGGTTCAGGGTTTAGGGGTCAGGGTTTCGGATTTAGGGTTTAGAGCCCACAGCCCTGAAACCCCGTCAACCCTAAACATCCAAGTCGCAGACCCTCGACCCCGATAGAACCAACAATACAGCCTACCGGGCATCGAGAATGCTCTTGACTTCCCCAGTAACCCAGGAGAAAAAATGGGCCTCCCTTTCTTGCATAGTGGCTTTCCATGTTTTTTGCTTCCCCAGCAAAAAAGGGGGGGTGGGCGGGGTGTAGAGCTTCGGGTAAATAACCCCAAAAATCTGAACCAACGTGAAGCTCGTTCCCTAAGTTATGGCTTTGGACGGGGGGGGGGGGGGGTTGGGTTCTTGTTGTGACTATGTATATCTACACGCACGCTTCATATACGTTGTAGTCTTTATGCAGGTATTCAGTCACTATTATATTCAGAAATTCATAGATTCGTATACCTATATTTTCATTATATGCCTATTCCGCAAGTACATGGTAGTGGGTTTAGGGTTTGGGCTTTAGGGCTTAGGGCTTAGGGCTTAGGGCTTAGGGCTTAGGGCTTAGGGCTTAGGGTTTTGGGTTTAGGGTTTAGGGTTTAGGGTTTAGGGCTTAGGGTTTAGGGTTTAGGGAGACTCAGCGAGTGTTCCAAGAGGGGTCTGCGATCTACATTGAGCCGGCGACAAGCGCCTTCGTGGCGCGGCCAGGCCTTCGGGATACCCCTAAGCCCTATTTCGGGTTTAGGGTTTAGGGTTTAGGGTTTAGGGTTTAGGGTTTAGGGTTTGGGGTTTAGGGTTTAGGGGTTAGGGGTTTTAGGGTTTAGGGTTAAGGGTTTAGGGCACCCTGAACCCTAAACGCCAAAAAGCTGAGCTTAGCCTGAGCAGCGTATGAACTCGGAATGCCCCCCAAAAAAATCCTAAACCCTAAAACCTAAACCCCAACCCTGAACCCTAAACCCTAACCCAAAAAAACCCAGGATCTTAGGGGGGTCTGGTCGTCTGCTCTTGCTCTCGCCTCCATTGAACCTGTAGGTTCATGGGTACTTAGAACCCGAATGATGTTTAGGGTTTAGGGTTTAGGATTTAGGGTTTAGGGTTTAGGGGTTAGGGGTTTAGGGTTCGGGCTTCCTCAGTCAGCTGCAACCTTACTGCCCCCAAGCCCTCTATGGCACTGCCCAGCTGGCCATGCCGGCGCGAAACTGATGTCAACTTACCAGGACCGTCTCATGGGGCTGTGCCTGAAAATCTTGAGCCGTCTTAAGCCGAAACCCTGAAGGGTACCCCCCCTTTGTACCCCAAGTAGACAGGAACGTCCATTCAGGGCCCGGGGTGCTCAGCCGAAGAGTCATATGCCGAAGGCGTAGGGGAGAAGACTTGAGATTTAGCGGTTTAGGGTTTAAGATTTAGGATATTTGGGGTCTAGGGGGCTTTGGGGGGTTGGTTAGGGTTTTAAGGGGTTTCGGGGAGTTTTGCGGGCTTGGGGGGGCTCAGGAAGATTTAGGGGTTTTGGGGTTACAAGGCTTTGAGGGGTTAGGATCGAGGCGGGTAAGCCTTTGCTGGTTTAAGTGGCTTAGGGCGAACACGAGGTAACTTGGGGGTCTGTACGCGGGGTCTTTTAGGGCTTCGGCACCCTTAACCCTAAACCCCCAAGCCCTAAACCCCTGAACCAGACCCTAAACCCTAAACCCTAAACCCTAGACCCTAAACCCTAAACCCGAAACCCTAATCCTCCAAACCCCTAAACCCCTGAACCCTTCCGGAGTTCTGGGCTCCCAGCCCCTTTCCGGTCCTCGCAAGGGATACAGGGCTACACAAAGGCGGACAGGGTCCCCCTCCCGCAGGCCCCGTGTGGCGCGGGCAGTCGTCGAAACGCATCGTGGTCTAGGGTTTAGGGTTTTGGCCCCCCGGGGTTTAGGGATCTTTGCAGGGCCTGGATTTGGGCTTTTAACCCTAAGCCCTAAACCCTAAAACCTAAACCCTAAACCGGGGTTTAGGGTTCGTTTCAAGGTTTGGGGTTTAGGGTGTAGTGAACTCTAATGGGTATTCTAGGTTTGGTTATATGACAATGGTAGGGCTTCAAAATTCCAGCTACCGTCTTGGTGAATGCTTAGGCTCCCGTACTAAACCCTAGACCCTAAACCCTATGCCCTAGACCCTAAAC